AGATTTAAATCATCTTCATTCAAAGATGAAAATAATTCACGTTTGGTTTGTTGATTGAGACCAGTGATATGAGACGATGTTCGTGTAAATATCATCACTTTAGTTGCTGAACGCAATGTTTCCTTTGGTCGATCGTCAATATTTTGCAAATCCAAGATATCCATTGATGATATTGGTGGCGTCGTTAAAGTTCGGAGAAAATTTTCAAGACTGAAATGTTCTTGATTTTCAAAGTAATTCGTACAGATCCAGCGTGATACTTCATCTTTGAACGTTGGTAATTTCAAAATGATGGATTCTGGGGAGATCAATTGCATTAATCTCGATAGAACCGATCGTAAAAGACATTGAAAAGTGTTGGTTACATTCTGTTCGATCACGGATTTTGATTTTACTGTCAATTGCGTGTATTGTTGATGAATATTGAGATAATAACGTTCTTCTTCATCATTTTTCTCGATCAATCCCAATAAACACGAATAAAGTGTATTTGAACTTAGACCATAGAAGTATTGTTGTCCAACATGTTCGATAAATGATTGCGATTTTTGTTCGACTTTTTCCATCAATCTCTGTTCTTCGATGGAAAGTTTAGCCCATTGAATTTGATAAAAGTCTTTAATTGATAACGAATATTTCTGAAATCGACTTAGAAATGGGGCTGGAATCTCTTTGAATTCTTTTCGATTGATATGAACAATACATTGAAAATCTTCATGGACGATAACATCGATCGTTTTTGGTCCGATGGCAACTTTCGACCAGATTTTTCTGTTATCACCCGTCGCCATGATCGAGAAATTTTGATTGAAAACATCGTAAAGTGAACCATGAATACGTCCAGTATTGATCATTAGAATAGTTTTGCCTGTTTCCATACATAATTTGATGGTTGAAAGGATCTCGACGCTTCTTAATTCATTGTTGACATCGTCTGGAAAATCGGACATTCGAAAAACAACTATTTTATTCGGATCAAGATCAAGAACGCCACTCTGCGCCAATAGACGTACAGCACTTTCATCTTCCGATTCATCGATAATTAATTTGTATCGTCCATAGAGTCGACGTCGAAAGGAATCTAATTTCATAGATTGATGAAGAATCGTTGGTATGTTTCGACGTTGATTCGGTAATCGAAAATCTGGACATTCTTCTTTGACAGCTTTGAAAAAGATTTGAAGGAGTTCTTCGAATTTTTCTTTTGAAATTCCATTGAAATTTTCTTCCAATGCATGAAGAAGACTTAGAGGTGTAATACCATCGACATGCGTTGCCTGTTCATCCGTTGTTGTGGTTAATTCGAAACGTAATTGACGCAACATGTAAATGAAATCTCGATCATGATAAATTTGTGGAATAAGTTCAGTGCTCAACAAGCGACGGTAACCTTGACAAAGACCATTAATAATTTTTTTCAGACGATCATTGACTCGGTGCTGTTGATTATCAATTTTCAAACCCAAACATCCATAAGCCAGAATGTGTTGATCTGTTCTTGATGGTAAAGATCGATAAATACAGATCATTCGATTGGCATTCGCTGCATCGAACGATTTATTGGCAACAGCAACGAAAGCCACTTTACAATCATCCAAGTAAGGATGCAATACTTTCAAAACCATTTTCTTCTCATCGGGTAGTGACGCTTCATCCAAGAACACAACCTAAACAAGAACAGTATTGCATGTGTTCGTAGTCATATCTGATTAACTTACGCATCGTGTTTTCATTCGATTCTGTTCGTAGTGTTGTTCACGTTTAATAGCACGATCCAAAATGTATGCGATATCTTCTGATCGAGTGTATTTCGAGCCCAAACAAAAGAAAGGATCTATGGCAGGTAACTTTTTACAAAATGTTGTATTTGATAATTGTGGACCTTGCAGATTCTGCAGAACGATCTGGAACGAGAGTGTTTTCGATTGACCTAAAGGCAAAAAGATATAGTCAACACAGAGATCTCACGCAATTTTTAGCAACTGGTTGATTTGAGGACATACTGCAATGTAGTAACACATGCGTACTATATTCATTCTTTAAAGTTCTATCGAAGATCATATGAAATATTTCCCTCACGCATTTGTACTAACCTGGAGCACCGATGATGCACAAAGGTGTTCTAGTAACAATGCTAATCACAATACCAAAGATATGCTCACGAACCTAAAGGCATGATGGGTCAGATAATTGCAAAACTTAGCCAAATGCTTACCGCTTGATTGATTGCAACGCCTTGAGGGATCACGAAATTATTTGGATTGACAAAGTTCTCCAATTCCATTTCTATGATATCAACGAAACCTGGAACTTTTCGCGATAGAATACTAGCCAGCTTTTCTCGTGGTGGATTTTTCTGATCATTTCGCTGATCATTGTCTTCTTTGGTCGGAAGTCGAAAGTAGTAGATCAAAGCTAATGCCAACGCAATGCAACGCTTTACATCAGGTTCAACTGTTTCATCGTCGAATCTCGTCTTCCAAAAGAACTCGATCAGATTGAAACATCGTTGAATTTCTCGTTGAGAAACAGAATTTTTTCCTAGAAACGAAAATATCAAGAGAGAAGTTCGCTTCAAAAAACAGAAATTTTCGGTTTACCAAGAAACTCTTCGCAGAATTCTTGGGCTTGTAAGATACACTCGGTGAGCATTTCTTGTATGTATGAATCAAGAGATGTCAATTGTTGTCCTGAAAGGGAAAATGTAGCGATTTTCTTAGTGATGTAGTCCTTCAATGTATCCGATTCTAATGTGCTGTATGAAATTTTTAGATTTTCCAGGGCTTGTGGCAATTGATGAACAAGGTAATCACTACGGTGGATCACCTTTTCGTCATCTTGTTTTATGGACGATGGGTTGATTGCGGCTGTGAAAAAGATATTTGTAGGCAAATGATTTCCATGGAGAGTACCATCCATAAACATTTCTTTGAACAACCCAAGGCACGATGAGGTATTTACCTCATCGAAGAAGATGACTAATTCAACATCGGGAACTTCATTAGCTAATTGACATATTGGTTTCATAAAATCCTCTAATTGTTCCTCTGTGATACCTGGATGAAGAAGAAGACGATAGAATAATGGTTTCGTATTTGTATGCATCAAATATTCATCAAATAACTTGATCGAGTTTAGAGGTGATTCTTTGAGAGTATTCGAATCGAGTAGTTTTCCAAGTTGAGGGCTGATGCTCATCAAAGGAAAACTTGTGATATGAAATGTGATATGTTCGTAAAGTAATTTATTTAATATGTGACATGTTTCCAAATCCGTGTTGTGAGTAATATTGATAATCGTTTTCCAAATAAATCGCAATATACCGTTATCATATAGCAATTTACCGTCAACATATCCATGATTCGAAAGTGTTGATTGGAAGTTTTTCAAAAATTCACCATCTATTGGCTCGGCTTCGGCGGCTGCTTGGCCAGGAGGAGCTAGTTGTTCCATTGATCCTCTAATTCTAAATAGACCATCTTCTTCTATCAAATTTTCATTATCTACATCTTCATCTTCGTTCTGGTCTTGAAATGGAAGATCGATTTGTGGTTCATTTTTCTGATCATTCGTTCCGAATAATTTCGTTTTGATTTGCTTCAATATTTCATTGAACAAATTGGGATTCTTCCTCAAAGTGACGGTGAGGATGCCAGGATGAGGATCTGAGGATAAAGGTGATGGTGGATCTTCAAATATCGTCTTGCGCAACCACACGCACATTCGTTCTCGGATACGTGGCGATACTTTCCCATCGAGAGAACCCTTTGTAAGCTTTGCATTCAGTAGCATCGAATAAAATTTTAGCAAAAATGTTTTACCAACACCAGTATGACCTTCAATAATCAAAGGAAGCTTGGTCAATTTTCTTTCATGAACATGAAACAGTTTGTAGGCAAAATTTTCAGTGAGAATAAACTTGGTTTCGTTCATCACATCGATAAAACTGTCGTATCCAATGTCTACAAGCCACGATAAACATTGAGCAAAATAGTTTTTCTTCCTGAAATCTGGTCGTGTCGCTGGATCTTCTTGCTTGAAAATCTCTTTCAGATTTTGAGGTACTCGATCCCAGTCAGTATGTAACAAATAAAGTGAAAAGCCAGGATCATAAACAAGGAATATTCGAGGATAATCATTTCCTTGAAAATTCATTTTTGAAAGATTTTTCGCTTCTTCTATCATTTGTTCCATCGCTCTTGAACCTAAACGTTCATCGCTATCGTTGAAACGGTAAAATCCAGAGTCAGTAAAAAATCGAACACGTCGATACAAAAACTTGACAAATGAAAGTTCAGATATTTTACTTCGTTGTAACTCCGGTGCATTCCTTGTCATGCAATCGTTAATCTGACGCCGACATTCTTCTTCATTATTCAACTGAGCGAACTGCAATCCAGTGTATCCTTCTGCAGTGGTTTCGACGTAAAGTCGATTGATCGTTCGATCTACATACGCTTTCAGGAATCGCGCCACAAGTTCTTCTTGCTCGCCAATATAAAGTTTGTGATTGTTTTCAGTAACTTCTTCAAAACTATTTGAATTCAATAAAGATAGCAACGAAAGAATTTGATTGAAATTATCGCTAATATTTCGATGGTATTTATCTGTATGAGGAATTTCAATATAGAATGTCCATTGATGGTCATTCGGTAATGAAAATGCCAAGCCACTATCTGTATCCGTCAATGCACCACAAACAAATAACGAAAAGAATGTGCGATTAAGTTCAACGAATGGAGCATGAATCGAAATGTTGAAATACACCTTGGGCTCTTCATCATTTTCTGTTGAATCGAATGAGAGCAATGTATTGATCAATGTAGTCGAATTCAATCGATCGTTAATGCTCATAGACAAAGTTTGCGGAGTTTTGTACTGAGTATTAATCCGATGGGTTTTTCCTAAAGAAAGCCAAAGATCGTCATTGTTAGCACATACGAGTTTATTCAACTTACCGATACCAGCCTTTCCGCAGATCACACATAGTCGTGGTTTAATTAAATTATTACTTTGAAATAGCTCGTTAAGTTTTCTATTGGCTACCATTGAGTTTCGTATTTGTGGCGTTACAAGGTACGGTCGTAATCCTTTTCTTGACGTTAGTTCTCTTGAGAAATAATAAACTTCACCATGTGGTTGATCAGATTTCGTCAATATGTCCTGTTCATTGAACAAAATTTCTCTTAATCGATGATGCATCTTGTCAATGTCCATAATCACAAATGTCAGGTGATAGAATGTTTGAATACGAATGAAGAATAAACGAATATCATCTTCTGTTGCACGAGAACACCAAAGGATTTGAAACGATGCTGGTAAGCGATGACTGAGAATATTGACAAGAATTGAAAATGTTTCCATATCAAGATCATGATCGAGTGGATTTGGTTCAGCTGGTTGATCTTTATGAGTCAATGTGACTAGATACTGCTGATTGTCATTGACTGTTGTTCTCTCGATAAATAATTCTTTTCCATCATTAAGAATTTCTTTCAAAAATGCAGATAATTTCTTCAAGCATAACTCACCACTGGATCTATTCGGTATTTGATGTTTGTCATATAATCGTTTGACATTCTCAACCGATAGATCACAAGTAAACAAACGCAATGAACGTAAATAGTGTCTCAATGATTCAATCGTTAACTGAAGTTCTCGATCATCATTGAAATTCTTATCGCTTTGGAAATGTAACTTTTTCAGGAAATTCCATTTCGTTCGATTATCTGGGGTTGATTTGGTCAACAGAATGATCAATATCATCACTTGACGATTGGAGAACAATTGTAATAGACGTGTTAACTTTCGATATTCTTCCAAATATTCTAACCAAAGTTTGCAGTTGATTACCATTTGCTGATGGATCAAATGAAGTTGATCTGTTTGTCTTTCAACGAGTCTTTTTAAAATGTCGATCTCTTCATTTTCATTATCTTTCACTCGAGATAGAATTCGACCAATTTCACCTGCACGATCAGACAACTGAAGTGTTTCTTCTCTCAATTGATAATCTGGATGACCACCCATTTCCAATTGAATCATCGTTGAATAGATATTGTTGACAGTGTTCAATAGTTTTAATTGTTCATTTAATAAAATTTTTTTCGATTTCATTGCTTCAGAAAGATCCACATTACAAAATGTCAGCTGAAGTTTATGATCATCAACTTCAGATGTAGCCAAGACAAATTTGATTTTCTCTGGCTCTGTTGACTGTAGAAATCCATCATTTTCGTCGATTGGATTTTCAGGATCTTCCTTGATCAATGTTTGAATTTTATTGATAGAATACTCGATCTGAAATTTTGATTCTTCGTTAATCAATCGTCTTAATTGAATATGAACAACGCCACTGCGATAAAGATGTTCCATAGTTATCAAAGCGTTATCTAGCACGTTCGTTTCTTCAGCGGATAGCCACATATTGACAAGTTAAATGTTATCGTTAACAACTGAAAACAATAAAAAACAAGGAGAAGATGATGACGACATTTCTTCTAGATGAATTACTTACTTTGCATGTGTGTCACTGGAGTATCTTCAAAGTAAGGTAACTTGGCTACACTGTCAACGAAATCTTCAAGAGTTCTTGCTTTCATTGTAAAAGGTTCACAAAGTCCGTAGATGATGATCCACGAATTGAGAATCATGTTGTTTCTTTCCTGAAGTTGAAATTGTGTTGTTAAATTATCTCTTAGCTCTTGAAATCGACGTCGTCCATGAGTTGTGTATAACTCGGCTTTTTCCATCATTTGGATAACATTCGAACATTCGGATGCTGTTTTGATCAGTTGTAAATGTTGATTGGTTAATTTTCGAAATCGTTGCTTGAGATTTCGATACCTTTCAGTAATCTCTCTTAGCGAACAGTTTTCGTCACTTATCTGTATGATTGAACTAATCGTTTCATCGGCATTTTCATTTGAAATAATGTTGAATCGCTGTACACAAGTGACAATAATGTTGATGTAACTGTAATATTGATAAATCTGCAACCATTCACAGACTTGTTTGATTTCTTGTTCTGTAGCTTCAATGTTGTTTGCCGGTTCTTGTTGGTTATTGGCATTGGCTATCAAACGATAGGAAAATAACTTTTTTACTTCATCACGAACATTTATATTCTTGTTGCAAAAGATAGCCTTCAAATCGACCATATCTTTCAATTTCATTCGTCCATTCAAAAGACTATCAATAAAGTGAAAAGCTCGCTCCAAAACTGTAGCCAAGTCTCTTTCAGTAGCAATGCGATCGTTTCCACCGCAAGCTGACGAGTATATCATATTGAAAATTCCCTCGAAAAGATGAGATTTCGATAATGAAGCCTGTTTAACACGAAACCAAACCACTCGATCAGCTAGTCTTTTTTCGTTATTCACTTCTATTGTCAATATTCCACTGCTTAAAGTTTCAAATTCCCCTTCGATTGTGTGTCTCTCCACGCTAACTTTATTAGCCAAGGACAGCACTTCCATTTTTCCATGACTATCGTCTGGAGTAAATTTGACTTGTACAGTAATTTCTAATCGTTCACTGGCGATAAACCATTGAATGTGTTGACGCTCCTGAATTTTAATATCACGGAACGAGTTTTTCTTAGCCATAATTTTGAAGTAATTATCTGGATGAGACCGTTTTACTTGTTCAATAAATTTTGAAGATGTATGTTCTTGATTGATTATTGCCGGATTGAGAACCTGAAATGGAATTAAACAATTCATCATGCTGCAAAGTCTTCGAAGATCCTTGAATGGTTGAGCAAGTGCAAAAGTCTTTTGAACAAACGTTTTCATTTCTGTAACTGTTATTTTTGACTTATCTCTCGCTCGATGTAAATCTTCGTACAATGATATTGCATTCTCGATTTGAAACCCTTTCAGCCAATGGACAACATGAACGAAAACTCTTGTCATTTCATCATACCATTTAATCCAATTATTGACCTGCTCGAGAAAGTGATGATAGTAGGCAACACGAGACTCGTTGATGTTTATGTTTATGTCGCTTGGTGCTAGTTTTAGCAGAGATATTAAATTTGCTTGAACTGTAGGAAATTTGAAGGTCTGTGGATTTACCGAGTCTATAATTGACTTTATATCATAACTTGGAACAAAGCAATCAGCGATCGACTCTTTAAACGTATCAACATACACCGAACAGTGTTCTAAGAAAAAAAAAAGTATTCTTTATGTGTCACATTGGTTTCTTAAGTTTACCTTGTAGTTTTAGAACATTGCTGATCGATCGTTCTACTTGCTGAATGAAACGAGTCATTTCTTCACCAACAGGAGTTCCATCTTTTTGTTTACGCAATGATAGGATAAAATCCATAATATTTTCAATCTTTGGAAGTGACAAAATCGATTTAGAATATCGTGAAACCACGCGATTGAATAGATGATTGATAAAAATAATGGTAAATACGTCATTTTCGTCATATCTATCATGTTTAACGATTTTCATCCAGTGATTCAGATTCACTAGGACTTCTTTGGTATTGTCGAATGCTGGTTTCATAAAACTCAAATTAAGAATTCGGTCCCATGTGTAGACAACCCATTGATTTTTCGCACTCGTTTCACATAGATCTCGATAAAAATTGCAATCTAATATATCCACGAAGTCTTGAGAATTATTTAGTAGCAGAGAGGCTTGGATCCAATCGTCATGGATAACATCTTTCGGATCAACAGAAGCTAGAATTTGTTTATCGAGATCGTTCATTCTGCGGACTAAATTCTTTAGTTTTTCTTTTGAATTGCCATAATTTTTATCATCCCAGAACAGCATATTTTGAATAATCAATGAGAAAGAAGGTTCTTTAGTTGCATCCTTCATTGATGATACGTATCCGATAAGAATTTTCAACAGTTTTTCGCAATCTTGTTCATAGTATTGATATCGATATCGTTCATCTGTCAGCTGTTGTATAATGAAAGCGTTGAAAATAGCCATATACACTTTTCCAAAGCTAAAACGTTTCTCTTCTTTTAGTTGTTGCATGGATTTATCAGCCAATTCTGTGTAAATAAAAAAATCAGTACGAGTGACGTTGGAAATGCGATCATTCACTTTCAGAATGAGATGTTTTTTGATAATTTCATTCAGTTCGCTTATCTGGCATAGATATAAGAAAAGCTTCCAGAGAGTATCTGTATCGACACAAGCAGCGTACGTGGATAGGTATTCTGAAAAGTAACGTTCATGACGACCCAACCTGCTAAGAAAATTGCCAACATGAATCATTTTATAAGACTTATTCTTTGACTCCCCTCTAAAAATAGGGAGAAAATCATCCAGGAATTCGTCAAACTTCAAATCTAATGATTTGAGGTGCTCCCACAATAGCGCCAGTGGCGATTCATCAGACTTTGTGACTGGAGGAAGTCGCGAAATAAGTTTCACGAAACCAGGCACATCTAATGGGAAATCTTTGAATCCTTCAGTAAAATCAACATATTGCTGAATAAGATTTTCCAAGGAAATATCAAAGTACTTAACGTCGTGGATAATAGTTTTCCACTGTAAACGTGTATCAGGATTGATTAATAAAGAGGCTTGCAGTGATAGTTTGCAAAAACAGAAAAATGAATTTAAGTTAACTCCAGTGACTTTTGTTATTTCCAAACGATAAGTATCGATGTTCATTCTTTTCAATAGGTCTTTGTCGATTGTAAAAAAATTTGGTCGTAAGCTCTTTGTGTCACGGAAAATTTTCGACGAATGGTCGATGATGGCCTTTCGAAGATGCTTCACACTGTCGCGCAATCCAGAAATCCACTTATAAGACCTCTCGATAATTACAAAATATTCTTCGATACGGGCATACGCATACAGATATGCATCAATCCTTTCACCAAACCTCTCGCATTCTTCATCTGAGATGAAACTCTCGTTAAAACATCGAGTAATAAAATCCACATCCTCAAAAAATCCATTATTTTTATAATGAGAGTTAAATTCATCGAAATTTTGGAAGCGAGCGAAAACGGCGTCAAAAAAATGTTGACCAACAGTGGTTTCATCGTCAAAGATACAGCCAATTAAATGCGCTGCATCTGTCAGCTTTTCTCGACCGATAAAGGCATCGTAAAAATTTTTCAGCCAGCCCATTTTGCCTGAAGTAATTAAAGAATGTCTCAAGTATCTAGAAATAGTGGAAGAAAAAGAAATCAAACAGCGTATCCTAGGATTTGAATGTACCAATGCACCATTCGATCGATGTTCAATTATCGTTCCAATTCGAATTCCACAGAAAAAAGAGAATAGTTTTTTTATGCTCCAGTGATACTTCCCGATGGTAAAATGACATATTTTTTCACAATGAAGCGCTTAAATGGTCGAAATTTGGATCATGAAATGAAGATTATAACAAGCCAGTTACTTTGGAGATTTTTTTCTTTCATAAGAAACTCTTCAGAAGATAGTATTGTCTATCGATCATCACTATAAGGGTATGGGTGTGGGTGTGGGGTGAGTGTGGCTGGGTGTGGAGGCGTGGGTGTGGGTGGAGTGGGGTGTGGGAAGAGGTTCTAACAGGACACGTTTTTAGGCCTGTACGGCCTGTCAGAGTCTGCCAAGCTTTTCGAGCGAGTACAATAATGATGCCAGACTAGAAACCACAGGTTCAAACAGCCCAGTCAGACAAGCCTCTTGAAAAAACGCGTTAAAACGCGTTAAAA